AGCCCTGGCCTCCCTCCCTCTCAGTTATCCATCATGAAGAACACTCCTGTACCCCAGTGAGGGAGTTGCAGGAGCAGCTCCCCACTACGCAGCTGGCTTTGGGGTGGGTCTGCGCAGGGCAAGGCCTGCAGGGGAACTCTGTTGCCCATGGCGCTCCCTCGGCCATGTCTTTGCCTAACACTTGCATGTGGGATCAGTGAAGGTGCTGAGGGGCCAGCATTGCTGCTGCCCTAAGGCCACCCTAGGGGCCTGTCCCATAGGGGGAGACCTGCCAACCCTCAGGTGCTCTTGAGCACAGACCACCTCCTCTTCTTCTTTCCTCCTTCCTCTCATACCTCCTGGCAATGGCCCAGAGATTGGGCTCCCTGCTTGTGCTTTTGCAGAATGGCAGCCACAAGGACATCAAGCAATGTCCCTGGCACTTATCAGAGAATGGAAAATACATGTGTGCTGGGGAATAAGCATACCATGACAGAGCCCAGCTGATGCAAATCCTCATGACCACAAGGAGAGCAATACACACATACACAGAACTACTATACCCCTGCCCCAGCCACTGATGACCATGCTGCATGCTGCCTGGGAGACTGCTGACACATACCCACACAGACCAAAGCATGCACAGCTAGTCACAGGCACATTCTCATCTGCTGTGGCCCCCCACAATGGCAATGCAGGGTGTGGCTGCTGCAGAGGGGACAAGGAAAGGATGTGCTCCTGTCCTCGGCCACTAGCCAGCCAGGTAGGCGGACAAGTCAAGGACAACTCTGAGCAAGTGTGCCTGACCTCATGTCCTAGCAGTCAGCATGATGGGAAGGCTACTGAGCAGGATAGCAGGAGGATGGCCAGAATGCCAGCAGCAGATGAGTCCTGGGGGCTAGAAGCAAGAATGCCAAAAGTTCTCCCCATTCTCAACCACAAGACACTCACCTCCAGCAGAGGGACAACCACTGATGGCCACAGAGACATACACGTTTCCTGGAAACAAGCTCAGCCTTATAAACATTCTGGTGCAACGCTTGCACTTGTCGAATGGGCAGCCCTGGACTTTTGGGCCCTGCCGCCAGCCCTGGCACTGGTCAGTGTTTCTTTTCCATGTGCACAGCTGACTCCTTTCCTCTGTCCTAAGCTCCACTACTGGACAATCAGGCTGGAGTTCTGGGCCTGGTCCCCAGTTACAATGGTCTTTACTGTCAGAGAAGACTCTCTGGGCACCCTAAATGGCCCTAAGGTCTACCTTCAGTGTTACTCTGCACATCACCCCAGAATTACCAAGGTGAAAACACACACAGAAGCACAATATCTCGGAGCTCTGTCCAAGGAGTGTCATCTGCTCCTGCTCTCCAGCAATCTCTCTGGAAGCTTCACTGTTGACTCCTTTGGGATGGTATCTATAGCATTTAAAATAACACAATGGGATCCATTTTTATAGCCCTAAAATAATGTTTAAAGGTCATTAAGTAAGAAGGGTTTTAATACCAAATTTTTCATGCCAACAGCTCCCTAGAATTCCTCTACTGGCAATTCCAAGGGATGCAGTCACAGCCACGAGACTTGAGGCTTTCTTTGAGGCCACTTTTTGAATTTGAAGGGTAAGTATTAGTATACTGAAGAAAAACTCAACTGCAGTAGTCACCATGGTACAGCCAGCCTCACTATCTTGTCTGTTCCATCTCCACAGAGTCCTGCCCTTCAGAATAAACAAACACCCTGTGCCGAAACCCTCAGCCCCTCTCTAACTCTCTGAAAGATCCAGTGCAGCAACTGTCTACCTGTAATTCAACGGGAGTTGGAGGTTGTGCAAATGCCATCCAGTTGCTTTCAAGGGACTTGCAATCCACCAATCTGGATATCCCCCAGGAGGCCCACAACCAGCTGGACATCAACACTGAGGCACACATGTACCCTGAGGTCACTGTTTCTATCACTGTCATTCCCCTAAGGCCTTTACCTCCCACAATCACCACCACACATAGGGGAAAGAACCACACCATGTCCACATCTTTGCACACAGCGCACCTTCTCATCCATCCCTTCTAGGGGATGCACCAAGCCCACCTGAACAGTTGCACTGGATCCCGTCTCAGGAACAGCAAGGCCACTAAGCCAAGACCTGGCTCTGAGTACCCACAGATAACCCCAAGAGTCAAAGAACAACCACCAGGTTCTTCAATGCTGTTTTCATACATTTTGCAAAGCTGCTTTTGAAAAGGGTCACATGGATGCCACTTCTGACCAACTCATGATATTGTTTATGTCGGTCATTTTTACTGAGGTCGATTTGTTTCCATGTGGATTTTTAACACTGTTTGCTGGTTACAGGAAACCGTTTGAGGTCCCTACTCTAGTACAGGCTTGTGACCAGCAGCACCGGAAGCCCCTGGGAGCTGTCAGAGTGCAGAGTCTCCGGCTCCAGCTATGCCTGCAGAGCCAAAATCTTAGGGACTTAACTGTGCATTCAAGTCCAAGAAGCACTCAGAGGTCATTCTGGTCTGGGGTAGGTGGCCTGCGACCACCACAGAGGGCCTGGAGGATGCCTTCACATATCAGCCCAAAGGGAAAGCAGGGCTTATGTGGTGCCCACTCAGGACAACTAAGCACAAACAAGTACTTTCCTGTGCTCACAGGCTTCAAGTCACTCTGGCAAATGAAGCCACATGCCATTCCAGTGTCACGTTGGCTGCATATTGCCCATGCTCTTAATTCTCCAAGTCAATCCTGGCAGTCTCCTGTGGCTAGCAGTATGGTCATGGTCTCCCAACCATGGTGTCCTTGGTGACCTCTCATTGCAACCTCAGAGTGGCCATCTTGTACCATCTGGCTGACCAGGATTAATCTCTTTTACAATTAAACACATTTCCAGCCCACCTTACATTTTTCTTCAGCGGTAAGTGCCTGTGGCTCAAAGCAAACTGTTCAGATCCTGGGCACTCTGCCCAGTGTCTCTGTGGAAGGACAATGCTTCACATGCTTAAGTTCATGTAGGCAACATGGTTGATTCCTGGGCCGGGCTATTCCCTCCCTAGTGATCACAACAGTTAGGAGCAGCTGACACACCAGGCAGGACTGGCTTTCCAAAAACCACTTTAAAAAACTGACTCCACTTGCTTATCTCAGGTGGGACTTTTACGGAATTTCTGACAACTCTGTGTGTGTTGGGGGGGGGTGGGGAGGGGGAGGAATCCCGGTGGAAGGGTGGCAGAACTGGGTTAAGCTGGGAATGATAGCCATTTCATCTGCACTGCATCCTTCCTACTCCGGAATGCTGCGTTTACCTTCTTGGCTCACATTTTCTCTTTAACCACCTCCACAAGCTGCCTTGTGCCCTTGAGGTCACATTCCTACCGAGATTCTACTTTTACCTTCCTTTCCAGTGTTCTCACTAGTTCTGTCTCACAGCTCACTTCAAATGTCTAAAACTAGCTGGGGCAACACCGACTACAAGATGCAGGAGGAGCTGAACACAACTTGAGGTGGGAGAATCAATGCCTCATTACTGCCTTGAGTCTAGCTGGAACAAAATATTATAGGAAGGGCAGAGTGCCTACCCACCAGCCCTGAAATACAGGGCTGAGGCACAGTGTCAGGGCTTGGCAGGGCCAGGCAAGCTGAGCACTGATTCCCAGGAGTCCAGAGTCACTCTCCAAGGGTGCACACCCCTCTCATGCCTGAGCAAATGTCCCATCAAAAGTTGGGGAGGGGCCCGGCACGGTGGCGCAAGTGGTTAAAGGTCCTCACCTTGCACGCCCGGGATCCCATATGGGTGCCGGTTCTAATCCCAGCAGCCCCGCTAACCTTCCAGCTCCCTGCCTGTGGCCCGGGAAAGCAGTCGAGGACGGCCCAAGGCTTTGGGACCCTACACCCGCGTGGGAGACCCGGAAGAGGCTCCTGGCTTCGGACTGGCATAGTATCGGCCGTTGCGCTCACTTGGGGAGTGAATCTTTGGACGGAGGATCTTCCTCTCTGTCTCTCCTCTCTGTATATCCGCCTTTCCAATGAAAAAATAATAAAAAATAAATCTTTAAAAAAAAAAAAGTTGGGGAGGGCAGGAAGAAAAAGCAGGGGAGGAGGGAACCTGAGAGAAGGTGACACAGCTCAACAGAATGCACAACAGGGGAAGCTCAGCTGAAAATAAGAGGCCCTGCGCCACTCAACACAACACAACACAACACAACACAACACAACACAACACAACCCAGCCCTGATGGTATCTTTTGTCAAGACAAAGGGAACTGATTTCCAAGTTGGCTAGTGGTTTTCAGAGGTAAAACTTAAATAAATAAATAAAACAAGTGGATTAAATGAATGATAGAACATGAAAGAGGAACTTTCCCTTGACCTAATTCTTATTGTAATATGTATTTAAGATGATGGATGGCAAATCAACTCTGTTATTTCATGTCGATTCATGCATCTATTCAATAAAAACGAATGCAACTGCTCCTTAAAAACAACACCCTATGTTTACACACTGAGCAAGCAAGCACATAGATGCACCCAGATAAGAACACCTAACAGGCTGACAATAGAGATGGACTCCCAAGCAGACACTATTCAATCCTCACAGCCTCTTTCCCATGTCACTGCAGTCCCTCTTGCCAGACAGCTCTGGAAGCAGGGCTGTCACATGACTTGCCCTGGTAAATAGGCTACTGGAGTGACATACACCTGCCTGAAACCCCTGTGTGTGAACCTCTGCCTCAGGAGCCACTGAAGCCACAGGCTGGGTCCCGAGTGACACACACAGACACCCATAGTGAGGAGCCAACCCAGTTCAATCCCACCTTGAAGCAGAGCCAGCCGGTTGAGACAGACGCAGAGCCAACTGGCCAGCCGCATCTGAGGTGCAAGGATAAACACCTGCCTTTGTGGAGCACTAACTCCTGCAGTGTGTGCTACACAGCTGCGCAGTGGTACCAGCTGAGACAGATGGCATGCTCAGAGGAAGCCCACAGGCCGCTTAGACAGACCCCCTTCAAGATCAGAAAGCAGTAACTTACCAGGTTCCTCCTTTTTCTTTGAACCAGACTTCTTCTTCTTCTTCTTCTTTGCAGGAGGATCCTCTTGCTTTGGCATCTCCTGGCTCTGCACTGCATCTGTGATTTTGCCCTGGACAGGAGCTGAATCTGTCTTTTTACCCTGATTGGCAGCCCCTTCTACCTTTTTGCCCTGGTTGGGGGCCCCCTCTGTTTTTTTCCCCTGGTTTGTAACATTGTCTGCCTTTGTGCCCTGATTCTGGGCTCCCTCTCCCTTCTTGCTCTGGTTCTGGGCCCCCTCTCCCTTCTTGTTCTGGTTCTGGGCCCCCTCTCCCTTCTTGCTCTGGTTCTGAGCTCCGTCTCCCTTCTTGCTTTGGTTCTGAGTTCCCTCTCCCTTCTTACTCTGGTTCTGGGTTCCCTCTCCCTTCTTGCCCTGGTTTGGGGCTCCCTCTCCCTTCTTGCTCTGGTTCTGGGTGCCCTCTCCTTTCTGGTTCTGGGCCCCCTCTCCTTTCTTACTCTGGTTTTGGGTTCCCTCTCCCTTCTTACTCTGGCTCTGGGCCCCCTCTCCCTTCTTACTCTGGTTCTGGGTCCCTTCTGCCTTCTTGCCCTGGTTTGGGGCCCCCTCTACATTTTTACCCTGGTTCTGAGCCCCCTCCCCTTTTTTGCCCTGATTCGCAGCCCCTTCTGCTTTTTTGCCCTGGTTTGGAGTTCCCTCTGCCTTCTTACTCTGATTTGGGGTTCCTTCTCCTTTCTTGCCTTGGTTTGGGGCCCCTTCTACCTTCTTGCCTTGGTTTGAGGTTCCCTCTGCCTTCTTACTCTGATTTGGGGTTTCTTCTCCTTTCTTACTCTGCTTTGGGGTCCCCTCCCCCTTCTTGTTCTGGTTCTGGGTTCCCTCCCCCTTCTTGCCTTGACTTGAGGTTCCTTCTGCTTTCTTGCTCTGGTTCTGAGTTACTTCTCCTTTCTTACCCTGGCTTGGGGCTCCCTCCGCCTTCTTACCCTGGTTTGGGGTTCCCTCTGCCTTCTTACCCTGGTTTGGGGCTCCTTCTCCTTTTTTACCCTGGTTTGGGGCCCCCTCTGCCTTCTTACCCTGGTTTGGGGTTCCTTCTCCTTTCTTACCCTGGTTTGGGGTTTCTTCTCCTTTCTTACCCTGGTTTGGGGTTCCTTCTTTCTTACCCTGGTTTGGGGTCCCTTCTTTCTTACCCTGGCTTGGGGTTCCTTCTCCTTTCTTACCCTGGTTTGGGGTTCCTTCTCCTTTCTTACCCTGGTTTGGGGCTCCTTCTCCTTTCTTACCCTGGTTTGGGGTTCCTTCTCCTTTCTTACCCTGATTTGGGGTTCCTTCTCCTTTCTTACCCTGATTTGGGGTTCCTTCTCCTTTCTTACCCTGGTTTGGGGTTCCTTCTCCTTTCTTACCCTGGTTTGGGGTTCCCTCTCCTTTCTTACCCTGGTTTGGGGTTCCTTCTCCTTTCTTACCCTGGTTTGGGGTTCCCTCTCCCTTCTTGCTTGAGGTTGGAGTCCCCTCCCCCTTCTTGTTCTGGTTCTGAGGTCCCTCTGTCTTCTTGCCCTGATTTGGGGCTGCCTCCCCCTTTTTGCCCTGACTCTGAACCCCCTCTGATTTTTTGCCTTGACTAGTGCCAGTGCCTGCAGTGCTGGCCTTGGCACCCACTGGGGGCACAACCACCATAGGCACCTCCTTGGGCGCAGCTTCAAAGATAGCAGCCTTGGAGGTGAGAACCTGGACGGAATTCACTACAGAACTGACTGCTGGCTCCACCTTTGCTACTTTTTTCTCCTTCTTCTTTTTGTCCTTAGGGGATGAGGCTGGCTTCTCTTGGGGCATGGCTGTTACAGTGGCTACAGGGGCAATGACCACCTGGGACTGGACTGGAATTGGGGCCACAGCTACAGCAGGTGCCCGCAAGGTATCTTTCAGGAGAAGGGTCACGCCGGGGACTGGTTCATGATCAGGTATCTTCCCATTAGGTTTCTCTTCCTTTTTCTTGGTCTTTCCTTTCTTCTCGACTGTTTTCTCCTTCTTTTTCTTCTCTACCTTCTGGTGGTGGGTCTTGGCCATCTCTTTGCGCTGGTTGGCGAGGGCTTCTTCGTACGATGTCTCCTTCATGGAGAAGGTGGACACTAGGAAGATGCCGATGGCGGAAACCACCATGAACCCACCAAAGACCACAACTCCCAAGGTCTGAGTGTCGTAAATATCCATCTTGGCTGGCCTTCTTTTCACCTGCCAAATACACACAGGGAGATGATGGTGATTATTATTTTTATTTTTATAGAAATCGAGAGACTTGATAGTCTCCACCTCTGCCCTGGCCATCACACTTAAGGTGCCTGTATTCCTTCTTCAGGTGAACAGATTTAAGCTTTAACATCCCGTGTTCTTGCCCACCCACTGTAGGAGTGAGGAGTCCCTACCGGTAGACGGGGGCAGACTACAGGTCTAGAAGCTGAGTACACAGTGCTCAATGATGCCAACAGAAGACAGCCCTGCTAGAGGGAAGTACAACACACAAGCTGGTGTAAAACTCAGAACGGCAGCAAATCCCCCCATGTCTTCCTCGACTGCCTTCCCAGGCCACAAGCAGGGAGCTGGATGGGAAGTGGAGCAGCTGGGATTACAACCGGCGCCCATATGGGATCCCGGTGTGTTTAAGGTAAGGACTTCAGCTGCTAGGCCATGTTGCCGGGTCCGAGAGATGTTTTGATTTTTCACATTGGGCCAATCTTTTCCTTCTCTTCTCTTGATGTGAAATTATTAATTCAAAAATACCACATGGGCCAAGGTAAAAACACACCTGTACTGCATGCTCTGTGCTCTGGTCCTGTTGTGCGTTTAGGCCATGTGCTCTGGGCAGCAGGTGCTGGTTTGCGTTTAGACCACATGCTCTATAGGTAGTAGGCCCCTGGTATGCGCTTAGATCACGAGCTCTGGGCAGCAGGTCCCTGGTGTGTTTAGGCCATGTGCTCTGGACAGCAGGCCTTGGTGTACATTTCAGCTGCATGCTCTGTGGGCAGCAGGCCCTGGTGTGTGTGCCATTTCTGCTGCGTTGCCTCCCCTCTCCAGTGCTGATCAACATAGCTACGCAGGGGCCTGCATTACAACCCTGACAGGTCACGACACACTGCTTTTGTTGGCCAGAAATGGCTCCTGAAGTCACCGAGCCTGCACCTACACAATGGACAAAAGGCTCAGCAAGCCTGTTTGGATCTTCAGAGTCACCAAGCCCTGTGCTGAACTCACATGTCAAACCTTACTGCCTACCAAGTCCAAAGGGCAAAGGCCAATGGACCACACCTTCTGGCCACCTCCACCTCACTGGGATCTCCAAGAGGTTTGCTGATTTGGGTGTACTCATTCAATGCTGATGTTATTACCCTTTCCCAGGTCCCTGAACTGGAAGAGTCTACAAGGATTTGAATGAGTGAACAGACCTGGGGAAGGAGGGTACAAGAGAGGAGGGGAAGAAGGGAAGTGGCTCTCCAGGCACTGGAGAGGTGGGTTGCCATGGTTGGCAGCACAGACTTTGAGATTTCCCACTCCTTTCTGAATGGTTACAATGTTCAGATCTTACTACAAACAAAATACTGTTTGTTTTTTAAAATAAAAGGTGCCAAGTGTTGCATTTTATGAGCCAACCTAGAAATCAGAACTGTAAAGATTAAGGGAGAAGCTCCAGTGAGGCATTCAGAAAAGGGTCACAGACAGGAGAAGAAGGAAGTGCCAGACACCTGCCCAGGAACCCCAAACTTGACCTCAGAGTGAAAAGGGGCACTGTGTAACTGGGCATCTGCTCTAAGAAAGATATCACTTGCAGCCAGCACAATGGCTCAAATGGCCATCCTTTGCCTACAAAGTGCCAGCATCCTGTATGGGGTCAGTTCATATCCCAGCTATCAGCTTTGCATCCAGCTCCCTGCTATGGCCTAGGAAAGCAGTAGATGATGGCCCAAGTCCTCGGGACCCTGTACCCAGATGGGAGACCTGGAAGAAGCTCCTGGCTGCTGGCTTTGGATCAGCTCATTTCTGGCCGTTTCAATCGTTTGGGGAATGAACCAAGAAATGGAAGATCTTTCTGTCTCTCTCTTCTCTCTGTAAATCTGCCTTTCCGATAAAAATCAATAAATCTGAAGAAAAAAGTCACTCTCAAGTGACATGCACATATCATGTCATGCGCATTCATTGTCTCTCTCTAGAAAGGTAAGACCTTTGTGGCAAGAAGACAAACTTCCCAGCACATGCTGTGCAAACCCATCCCTCCACCAGCTGTAGCTGTGTCCCTACCTTCATCCACAGACAGTACCCTGGGGTGGGCAGGCCAAGGCCCAGCCATCTACGTCAGCTAACACTGTTGCAAACAAAGCCTGAGGTCCCGGATGCCAGGCAAGGTGGCACATACATCTCCACATGGATTCTGACCTCTGGCCCTCAGGGGCAATGGCATGATTCACTGGCACAGCCTAAGCCCAAGCCTAGATGCTGGAGAGGGAACTGACCTGCTTGGCCTTGGATGAAGCCAGCAGTGGGGAGGGCAGGCGACAAGCCAGATGTTCCACGTCACACAGACATCCCCAAGAAGCTCATCAGCAGGGGAGTGTTCAGGTACAAAAACTTTATTACCTTCCCTCCACGCATTCTATTCATTTGACCCCAAAACCCTCTCAAATAGCAGCCCTTTCTCCAGAGGGTGTTGGGGGTTAGAGGTGGGAATAAGAAGGGCCTGGGTCACCCTGGCTGAGACTCTGGAACCCCAGGGCTTCCCAACAACCATGTCCTATAGAGGGGGGATCCCTGGGCAGCTGGAACAGACATCGCTCAGGCACCAGAACCTGACCAGCCAGCGGCCATCCACAAAGCAGGGTTTGTTTGGTGCCAAGCACTGTGGAACTCTGTGTAACCTTGTGGTTCCCAACTTGTGAACTCCAATAGGGACGCCAAGGCTAGAAACTCAGCCTTTAATCTTGCTCCACAGAGGCAAACATGAGACACAGAAATACATTCTCTGCAGGGAGCACAGAATTGAGCAAGGCAAACCTGGGAGAGTATTTTCCTTCACAGTGCAGACAAATGTATGTTTTATAGTGGCACCTACGTGGCTTCCCAGCTTCTGCAGACTGAGCTGCTTTAAAAAGACATCACATACTCAACAGTAATTCCTGAGTTAGAATTTGGTAAAAAGGAATCCTTCACAGCAAAATGAAAAAGCCCTGGTATGAAGTACTGACACAGAGACTTTCAGGGCCCAGGCAGCATGACCACAGCCAGCAGAGAAGCCAATGAGAAAACCACCCCCACTGGGAGCTCCTGGAGTTGCAGAAGTGGTCAAACAGAGATGCCCCCAAACACATTCGCTGCTATTAAAAGTCACCAAGATTACCATGATCATAGGCATTAGGGCTTTCAGCCACACTCCTACCCAGGGGAGCAATCAAAATAGGCCCTGTACAGCCCGACCACAGGATCTTCACTTTTATCAATTCCAGAACCTCTGTGGCACAGGCACTTTGAGTCACTATTCTGAGTACATACACCAAGTCCAAAGCAAACAGACAAGGGACCCAGAGAGCAGGAGGTGGGAGGTCATGCAGAGGCTGGGGCATCTTCAGGCTCAGCAGACCGAACTCATAGCCCACCTCCAGGACCCCCTGAGAATGGCTTTTCTTCTTAGACTTTGGGAACAAAAGGAGTGGAAGCTCCAAATACCTTAGACATGGAGCACACCCGATAAGTCATGTGTCCCAACCAAGCCAGTCAAGTCTAACGGAGCAGTAGGGATCCAGACAGGCTATGTGCCAAGACCCCCAGTGACACCACCACGAGCCTGGTCTCATCATTACTCAACAGTTCCAATGCAGATCACACATGGACGCCCACTGAAGCAAAGGGCAGGGTGATCAACCAGAGCAGGCTCCAGGCCCGTCTCCTGGGCAAAAGGTAACTTAGCAGGGGGCGACAGAGCTAGAACACAATGAGAACAGAGAGCGACAGACACAGCTGCACCCCCTCTATTTTCAATTACACAGCATCCCTAATCTGAAAACCCAAAATGCTCCCAAATCTGAACCTATGACCATCAACATAATGCCAAGTGGAAAATCCCATCACTGATCTCACATGATGATAGGCTGAAACACAGGCATACTAAAAATGATACATGCAATTGCCTTCTGGCTATGTGCACAAGGGGTATGGGAAACATAAATAAACTTGCTTCTTATGCCTGGGCCTCCTCCCTCAGCTGTCTAATATATCTATGTAATGACAAAGAAATCCTGCTTGGGAAGCCCTCCTGATCCTAAGCATTTCAGGTAAGGGAATACAACCTGTTTTCATGACACAGCTCAAACACCAAAGAGTAAAAATGAAAAATATGAACATCTATTTGCCAACACCCAGGCTTATCAAATCCTGATGGTTTGCCACAATTGCCTCCAGGTCACTTAGCACTTACATATTATTTCCACTTAGATCCCTGCAAGCGAAGTAAGTGATTTGGCTTATACATCGGTAACTGCAGTGAGGGACCCCAGCCTGCCTGGGTGTCATCTGGCATCATCTCCCGACTAATCTTTGTTCCTGAGATTGCTTCCTACAGGCTGTCATGGCTTCAGCTCATTGATCCTTACCCAGACTCACATGATGGCACCAGACCACAAGTACACTTCCCTGTGTGTTTAGGTTCTTCAAGCTGATGCTACTGGCACAAACCTGTAGGGTTAAACAGGTTTGGGAAAAGATCTCCCCATGTCCATCCCCTTCCACTCCCCCCAAGTCCCTTCCTGGAGACAACCCCTGTTGCTGGGAGTCCCTTTTCTGGTTGGGAATCAAATTCCTTCTGAGAGCTTTGGTAACGCTTTTTGCAGTTAGGTTTTTCCAAGTCCTGTTTTACAAGGGATTCACTCTGGCAGCTGACAGGAAACAGTGATATGACTTTCCCCCATGGGCTCAATGACCCAACACTGCTTCCTGTCAGGGCTCCTCCATCCCCTTGCATGCACACGGCCATCTCCCAGCCACTGAATCCTACACTTTGTTCTCTCCTGTCCACCTCTACTCCTGGCATCAACACTACGTTCTCAGTCTGTGGATGCTCTCTGAAATGTCTGCTGAGGTTCTCATTTACGCCTCTGAATTTCTGAATGAACGTGGGGAGAACTGACAGCAGTACCTAGGAGTGCTGCCGGTCAATGAACACCACATGCTCTGACTCTACCCAAATTAAATGT